CTAACGGGTGTCCCAGGGAAAATGGGCCTCTCAGTATTTTTAAGATTTCTCCTCTATTATCCCTGTAATTAAAGCTCTTTTTATTATCAAAAGATAGCGCTCGAAATTCTCTACAAAATCATATATGACAAGGCTCAAAAGCTGTTTTAGATATATTTGAAAAAAGACGAAAACTGAAGACATACAAGCAGCTGTAAAATCTAAATGGCACCAATAATAAACGGCTACACTTTGTATTTCATATTTTAATCTCTAAATACGTTTTGTTAAAAAAGCAAAATATACCATAAGATGCAGCATGAAAAGTTCTACAATCTACAAACTAAAGTTTATTTTAATTGTATACTTTTTGTTTTCAGAAAAAAGCAAAACTCTGTGCGACGGATCCCATGGAATTTGGAGTTACTTTGAACTTAAAAATGACACAAATAAAACAAACTCTTCTTTGTAAATTATAGAGCTATTCACGCTGCATCTTGTGCTATATTTTGATTTTTCTAAAGGAAATATTTTAGGTGATAAAAAGATAAGATAAGAAAAAGGAATTCTCGTTCGTGTGAAAACAATGATTTTTTTCACAATGGCGAAAATTGGTTATACAGAATTTTGCTTTTTTTGTAAACAAAAAGTATACAATTAAAATAAACTTTAGTTTGTAGATTGTAGAGCTTTTCATGCTGCATCTTATGGTATATTTTGCTTTTTTAATAAAACGTATTTAGAGATTAAAATATGAAATGCAAAGTGCGGCCATTTATTATGGGACACCCGTTATTTAGATTTTACAGCTGCTTGTATGTCTTCAGTTTTCGTCTTTTCTCAAATATATCTAAAACAGCTTTTGGGCCTTGTCATATATGATTTTGTAGAGAATTTCGAGCGCTATCTTTTGATAATAAAAAGAGCTTTAATTACAGGGATAATAGAGGAGAAATCTTAAAAATACTGAGAGGCCCATTTTCCCTGGGACACCCGTTATTTATCGTTGATATAGAAAAGTTTACCCATGGTTCCATATGTCATTGGCTCTTGATTATATTTGATAATGATTTCCTTAGCAAGATCAGACGGAAAACAGTAATCTTCTAAGTTTTTTCGTACTTCTTCGATTGTGTCTATCATTGATTGAGCAAGAGAAATATTATCGACAAGTGTTCCATTACATAGTGGACATATACAAACACGTTGACAACAATCATGACAAACAATGTGTTTATTGCTTACTGAGCATAATGACATGGGCATCCTATAATAGAATAATTACTAATTACTATCTTTACAGAATATTTTCACATTTTATTTTTTTTCGAAACAAATATTAAACTTGTCTATTTCATAAAAATCTATAGAAATTTAAAAAAAGAAGATCAGGTTTCAGTTGTACTTTAGAAATTCTCTTAACAACTATTTTTTCATCTTTTTAAGGTAACATCTGTTGACTAAGTGACTCATTCAAATTAAAGTTTATTAATCTGAACACATTATCTTAAATGGTGATGGGATAACCGATTTACTATCAGGTTAGTGATATTAATCAAGAATTTAAAATAATAAAAGCTAATTGTCATTCTATACGAAATTGAGACATCTCGTATTACTAGAGTCTTTCTTCATATAAAGAATCAAAACTTTTTCCTATGAAAACTTAAAGTTTTACTGCCTCGAAATAGCTCATAAAAAATTATAGTATCATAGATGCAAAAAAGCATACAGACAGGATTTTTTTGCACGTATCTTTTCATGTATGATCCTCATTTTTGAACAATATCACATATCGCCTGTTGTTAGATAAGGTATTAGACTATTTACCTACCGCAGAAAAAAATCTTTCTTTATTCTTTATTTTATAATTATAATGATTTTATTTATATATATTTCAAAACGAAAAAATTAATTAACACCTCTACTCAGTATGATATTGGCAAAAGAATCTAAAATTGTTGATAGAGATGGAATAATAATGTCAGAGAATGATTCCTTTTTCGACATTGATTTAGAATCTAAGTGAGATCTGTTTAGATAATAATGCTTTCGTATTAAAAATGCTTTAATAACACGGTGAAATCTATACCTATTATGAGCATCTGTTGAGGGTTGAACAGTGGTGAATCGAGAAAAGCAGATTGGGCATTGTATTTGATCTAAAAAAGTGAACCAATCAATGTTAGTAGATGTGGCCAACGGAAATTTGTGAAGAGCCTTGGAATTAAATGAACGTTTCATGCTTTCGATTACTTTCATCGTACGATATTTTTCAAGATAAGCGTAAGCCATATAGCAAATAGCACCGATAAAAGTATTGATTGCCTGAGAACAACGTCGTCTTGCATGATCTTTAAAATAATTTGCATCATCATTTTCAAGATAATTCCATTTATATCCACAAGTTTGAATACAATCAATTACTACTTTAATTGCGCCATTATTGAGATTAGTAAGTCTGTTTTTGATACTGTGTAAGAGTTGGTCGCGATCGAACGATAATATTTGACCATGTTGCAGTGAAACATGAGCTGATAAACAAATGAGTGTAGGAATCACACATTCATAACAATAAAATCCTCCACACCCTCTGTACATAAGATAAATTACACTTTCTTTAGTTATATTGTAATCTAACAACGTTGAATCATATTTTAATTGTCTGCTTTGGAATAATAATCGAATTTTGTTTAAAGGAAATCCTTGCTTTTCTCGAACTTTACGTGCGACACTCATAATTGTGTCTGTGGGTTCTACTTCATAAGGTATTGCTTTTCCAGTTATATCTCTTATGAATATTTGCATATTATTTTACTTCCCTTAGATAGTTTATTATATGACGAATAAGAAAAAGGTGAATGCTCTAGCAAAACAAATATGATCACAATGTTTTATTTTGCTTTTCTTTTTTATACGACATTAATTATCAGGTACAACTGCAGTTTAGCTACACCATCAATATCATATATATCGACAAAACGAGAAAAAAAATTAATTGGTTAACGCATAACCACTAAATAAGAGAAAAAGAATAAGATATACAGATGTCATATGAGAACGAGAGTTTTATTAAGAGAAAAAAATATACATATAACAATCATTGAACAGGATAATTTTCAGAAATTTGTAATATTAAATTTTTCAATGGTTTATCGCCGAAATCCTGACGCCAAACGAATTCCTCTAAATATGTTGGTAAAAGTGTTCTCGCAAGTCCGTTCTGTTTTTTCTGTTTTTGTTTTATACGCATCCAGGTGTTCTCTATATTTCGTGTATGAACACCTGTTATAGAATCGACAAAACTAGCTGAATGATTGACCGTTACATGTGTATAATTAGGATTATTTCTTAAACTATTGTATGCTTTCCATTCATCGGAATGAAGAGTAGTGCCTATAGAAATCTGTAGTTGATGTTAATGCATGCAATTTTCTTAAATTTATTTGATTAATATCATCAATATTTATGTTATTATTCATTATTATTATAATTTTATTACGAATTATGATTGATAAATTTATCATAGAATTGCAATGAAAACATGACCCTTATATATATCAATATTCTTTATTTAACGCAAATTATTATATCTTTTTCAAAGATTCCAATTATTATTTCATCATTGATAGAAATTGCAATTTATATGTTATCAATAGGCGACTCTTTTTTTTTTAATTAAACTTACCTTCATCACATGAAAGAGCTATGTTATTTTATTAAAAGATCATCTTAATTAATAGAACGAAGTATCTTTTTTAACACATCAACTTACACTATTCTTATATGACATCTATATGTTTTATTCTTTTTCTCTTATTTAATAGTTATGCGCTAACCAATTAATTTTTTTTCTCGTTCTGTCGATATATATGATATCGATGGTGTAGCTAAAGTGCAGTTGTACCATATATAGATACATGTGCATGTCTGTCGCATTACTTATTTCGTTTGCATACTTGTTTAGAGAAAAGAATCAATATAACAGTAACGATGTTCAGTGGAGAATTAATATTTTTTTATATTTAAGCGTTTAATATTTATTTTTTTAATATTTATTGTTTTAGATTAATTTTGTTATATTTAAATTTTTTATATTAATTTTAAAAATTTTTTTTGATATCTATTTTCTTAGATTACTGCTTTTCTATTTATGTTTTAAGATTCATTTTTTGTGTTTATTTTTTATATGTTGTTTTTTTGCATTGGCTTGTATTTTTATTTTTGTAAAATAAGAGAATGAATAGATCGATTTTGAATGATTTTATTTCCGCAAAACATGAGTAATTCGAGAAAGATTATCTGTTGAAATCCTTCTAAAAGACTGGAATCAATCTCGATTGCTTATAATCACATCTAAATTTCAAGATATTCGATGATTTCATTTGAAACCTACATAGTTTAGAATAAAGCAAAACTAAGAAAAGTACTTTATTGAAGTATATAAAAATTTGAAAGCTGGAATGAAAATATATGAAGGATTGAGCAAGAAAAATATAAATATTGAAAAATGAAAATTTGAATTAAAATACAAAAGCTTCGACAAACATAAAGAGAAGAGTTGTAGCGTATGAAAAGAATAAAAATTTTAAAAAAATGTAATCGAGAAAATGTTTTCAAGTCAAAGCCAACGTTTTAGTTTGTAATGGTTCGCTAGGGCTCAACACCACCAAAACTGTCAATGTAGGCGTAACCTCGGTGACCAGTTAGGCTGCAGTCTGTTGTGAAAATAGTTAAACGGAAGTCGTGACCAACGTGACTGCTAGTGTAGGACAAGTGCTCAATTTGCCAATCTGGTGTATAGAAGTATGTGCCATTTTTTAGAAAACGACTATCGACTCCCACGTCACCTGCTCCCGCATTGTATCGGTGCGAGAGTAGTAACTCACCAGTAGTCATATCTTCCAATTCAATTATCAGGAGACTAGATTGTTCTGCAATGTGCTCACCATTTTCCAAAACGGCTAACCAGGCAAAATAAATATCCGTACAGTAATAGCGACTGACATCCTGACTAAGGACTGATACATAACCACCGATAGCTGTGTCTTCGACACGCCATGCAAAGTTACCACCGTACACGATGTTTGGCATCAACGTACCAAGGATTGGATCATTGCCATTAGTAACAATACTTGAATGCGCGATTCCAATGCTTGAAACACCACGAAAACCACCTGGCAAAAACTCTGCTGGGTTCAAATCTGATGTAAAAAGATTAGCTCGCGAGCCACCACCAATTGTCCAACCAGAGGCATCACCCATTTCGAAGCCGCCATTTGTGAAACTGTCGTAGTAACATACTACAAAAACAAAACATAGGAAGAATAATTTACTCGTTTCATGTTAGAAATCGATCGTTACAGCCACGATATAGTTTTCACAGTAGATAAATCTTATTTCTGTTTTATCAACGACCGACGATATTAGATAGCGATTGTCAACAAGCAAATAGTTTTGCACGCACTTATACTAAAGTTTATCAAAAAACTTTTACGAAACTCTGTATTATTTGGTTCTGTCCTCTACGACGTGCAGTATATCATTTCTGTCACATATTTGATTATAAAGCTATCTCAAATATACTTTAGAGCTATCTAATTCATAATTCAGTGAACATTTACCAATGTCGATTTATTTCCATGGTCGTTGCATACTTTCACTATCTTTCACATTTCCACTGTAGCAACAATGTATGCTAGGGAGAAACTTGATTCTCAACAAACAACGAACAAATAAACACTCCCACCCAACTTTTCAACAAACACAATAAACAGCTTCAATGTTATACCAGACCTAATGTCCTACTTCTATTAAATCAAACACACAACTACTAAGGTCTATTTATTATCATGCAAGTACTACTTAGACTAAGGGATAGCAGGTTTCCTGAGCAACTTTATCACGCATAACAATCATCATCCACTAGATACACTATAAGACTGAAAATCTAGAAAACACTTTCTCTTCCCAAATACACTAGTACAGAAGCACAGAAAAAAAATGTTTCACGATACGCTCCGATCCAGCACCCATATTACTAGCAATAACTCCAGTGACCCACGACACTTAGGAGAACAACAAAACGACATGCAATGCCTTGCTTACCATATCCACATCTACCACAAAGACTATTTCGAGTGATAAATTAAATCTGCTAGCGTAATTATCGCAGCACTTACGTTGGCAAACGCCGTCTCGACATTGGTTACTAACACAATCTCCATCAACAAGACATGACTTCCCATTCTCACATTTCGGACACTGTTCACCTCCACAGTCCTGATCAGTTTCATTTCCATTCCTCAAACCATCAATACAACTAGCACCTAAAAAAGACTTCGAACTATTTTCCATTGGCTAATACTAGTATACCTTGACAAGTATCTTGGCAAATCTCACTGATACAATCAGCATTTTGTATGCAATATAAACCATCTTCGCATTTTGGACACAATTCACCACCACAGTCCTTGTCAGTTTCCAATCCATTCTGTACACTGTCAGTGCAAGTAGGAGCTAAAATAGACGATGAATTACATTATATTACTCGTAATCAATATACCTTGACAAGTGTCTCCTTCACAAACATCACTAATACAGTCATTATTGACTTTGCAGCCTAAGCCATCCTCGCATTTAGGACACAAACCACCACCACAATTCATGTCAGTTTCAAGTCCATTCTTTGCAGTATCGGTACACGTTGGCGCTAAAATTCACAATGGATTATGTCATAGATTGTTGAAGTGATATACCTAGACAAGTGTCCCCTTCACAAACATCACTAATACAGTCATTATTGACTTTGCAGCCTAAGCCATCCTCGCATTTAGGACACAAACCACCACCACAATTCATGTCAGTTTCAACTCCATTCTTTGCAGTATCGGTACAAGTTGGCGCTAAAATTCACAATGG